AAATTGTCGTGTTTTGGCTTTTGGAGTTAAGGCTAAGACAAATTGGCAAATTCCCACCTCCCAGAGTTACTGCTTCAATTTGCTTGCACATTGCAATAATACCACAGCTGATTATACTCAGAAAATAAATCACCCCATCCAGAAGGCTGAAAACTGCAATTTTCCACCCAGAAACTGAACATTATGTTGTCCAGAAACTCACAGAGAAGTATTAGTGCAGCATATCAAGCACTGGTGGCTGAATCAACTCTGATGGAATTTCAGTTTCTCTTGGGACATTTAGCATGTGTCTACTACGATACGTAGGTGGACAGGAAGAACAGTCAGAGACCACATAAAAGCAACAGCAGTTTCTAAAACTGTTTTGACTGTGAAGCAGATGAGATACAAGATGGTTATGGGTAAGAGCTGAAATGTGTATTGTGCCCACCAGGAATCAGAGAAAATGGATTATACCATATAAGCTTACCATGTGTGCAGATTGCTTACTGTCTTCCTTATTTCCCCCTCTGTAGTCCTTTTTGTTTTTAATAAAACATTCTAAGTTTTATGAAAGATGACTGTTACAGCTTTTATCAGTTATAGTACAATTTATAGAATATACTTGCTCTTTCTTCTAGTATTCTCAGGATATGTTGTATATGTCATTATTTTGTTACAACTCTTCTATGCCTGCTAGGCAAAGGCAGCCACTTGAGGCTTATCTTGACATTATTCTCTCTACGAGTAAAGAGGGTTTAATGCATCTTGCAGCTGTGCTTCAGATAAAACTGCATACCTTTGAAATATGCCTTTATTTTTATTCTTACGGTAATTGTCATTCTCCTATGACTTGTTTTTCCTACTTGAGAAAAGATAATTAAACAAGCTGTAATGAAAGAGCTTCTCTCATTGGGAGCCCATTTAAACAAGCTGTAATGAAAGAGCTTCTCTCATTGGGAGCCCATTCTAGTGTCCAACATACTGCATAACCATGTCTTCCTAGATACCCTTAAGTGTTTATAACTCTCCACAGACAATGTGGTTCCAAACACTGCTCTAAATATTCATCACCATCCTCCTTACTTCTAAGCATTTTCAATATTATCAGCACTTGCTCTTTGTAGCCACTACTTCCCTAAGCTGGAGTTCAAGTTTGCATACGGTAATATAAATGTGGGAGGTATTTGGTGAACTGCTACGTATGGAGATCAAGTATATAGCCAGCCATTAACTTTCTGTTTATATATGTTATTAAAAAACTATAATTTACAAGTGGTAGATTCTGAGGATACAAAACTAATTTTCATCAAACTAGCACTTTCTATCTACAGGTAACTTAACTGTATACTAGAAGAAGAGTCATCATATATCCTCTAAGCAGTACAATAAAACCCAGTCCTTTCACTTGTATTTCATTGCACTTGCAAGGCAGGGACATCACTGAAATCAGTTCTGAGACTCCAAGACAACTTCACCTGGATCCTTATCGTAGCAGCATCTTTTGGATCTAGTATCAACATGAGAGGTATCTGTTCTCACCAATCTTTTTCCCAGCTGTCAATGTGGGATTAATACTGTCCAGCTTTTTGTCTCCTGCTTGTACTGGAAAGGATGATAAAATCTGGGAAAACTCTGGAGGCAGGTATTTCAGATAGCTCTGGATTAGAGATTTGATTTGCATAAAGCCTGCTGTAAATAAAAGCCTACTGACAGTGAAACCCTTACCAAATACACATGCCTTTTGAGAAACAAAGTATGAATATTTTCTTCACATATGGCAAACACATTCCAGAGTAGCAATGCAAGCAGTGACAGAGGGAAAGTAACGGAAGAATAAGTGAAACAAATAAACAAAAAATTCCCCCCTTCAGGAATATTATATCACCCTTGATCAGGTTGATTGAGAGAAAGTGAGAGGCCACAGGAGAATTTACAATAGTGACTGTATGAGCAATTCCCTTACCATTACCGGTGTACTTTTGCAGTGCAAGAACTTCATTCTGCTATTACTGCTACAGAATCAGGGTGCTATCAGTAATTAGTTGTAGCTGGTTTTGGTGATTAAAACCAAAAGTTCTTATTGTATAATAATTTTGGCACATGGTATTAAACAATAAAATAAAAAAAAAAGAACAGAAGTGTTAATCAGAAGTAATTGCAGTAGAACTTCCGTGATCCATAGATTCAGTAACTTTCAAAACAGAACCCAAAATACAACAATTACTGTAGCACGTTAATTACTGAGAACTCTCTCATTTATCAGTTTGATCTGATATCAAAAACTACCTTGTCCACAATCAAATACCTAAACCAGCTCTCTAATCGCAGCTGGATTTTCAAAGCTTTCCTAATGACCTCTGGAAGTACAACCTATTTCTGTATACAGTCAGTTTTGGTCACTTTGCTTTACACCTCAGCCAAATGTTTGTAAACAAAATTGTGGCTTTTTAGACCACCCTCAGAGACTGCTACAGTGGCTGAAAAGGAGAGGCCAGCTCCTTTTTTGAAAACAGAGCAATTACCAATCCAAAATCAAGCAATGAATTTCCTTGATTAGCAAGAGCTGCAGTCCATCTTACACCTTTGTCTTTATGAACAATCACCTCGATATTATGACATTCCATAATGTACTATTTCATTATCATACTAAAACAATAATCACATTAGCAAGGTTCCTGTCTCCTTTCCTCACATCAAGAGCTATACACAGTTATTCCTTTTAATTGCTTCCAGAGAAACATCTGGTCTTGCCAACTGTAACAGACCATAGTGCATCTCTGGGTATACCTGACCGCTACATACAGCTTGAATAGACTCAGTTTTGGGAAGTCAACAAACCGCTTCAGCCTAAACCATTACTGAACCAGTCTGGATTCAAAAATAACTATAACAGTCCTTCTTCTGCTTGCAGCGTGACAATGAGCGCTCAAAAACGTGCTAGAATCAGCCACTTCTGAAAGCTGTACTGACACACATGTGATAAGTATTAGTAAAAATATGGTTCAAGACATCAGACACTGCCCACAGAAAGCAAATCCTTAATGGTTTAGATTAAATAAGAACCACCATTAGATCTGGACAGATAAGCACATTCGGAAAAATTAAGATAAAAGGTAGTCTATTTAACAGAGGTCAGTCTAACCACCATAACATAAACCAGAATCATCTTTGGTGGAAACTTTCACTTGATAAATTTGAATATTTTTCAAGTCTAGCTATCTAAGGTTGTAACTGTCTGTATTGGTTCTGTAGAAGTATCACTTACAGACCTCTCCTCCCGCCATTTCCTGAGTTTGATACTTTCTCTGTTGGGACTCAAAGACTCAATCTCTGCATTACTGTATTGCGAAACATATAATATGCTTTCTGTGGCTGACTGCAATTTAAGATCCTCATTGATAATCTGCTGGCCTCAAGGGAAGTCTTTAGACTCGTAAGAACGTAAGAGAACTAACACTGCAACAGATCAAACATCCATCTCTGACAGCAATCAACAGAAGAGAGCCTAAGTAAAGCACAGATACTCGCCCAATTGTGGTTGCAGCACTTTCTGCAGAGGTGGAACCTCAGGTATATAACAGTTCCCAGCTGATTTTTCAGATCAATTGGTTGAGACCTTTTCTGAATTCATACACAGTTCAGCATGTGCTGTATCCTGTGCCAAGGTGTTCTGTAAACTAATTGTGTGCTTTATAAAATGCAGCATTATTTTGCTTGTGCTGAATCTATCAGGTGTTAAAGTTTAATACCTGTTCACATTCTTCAGTGGATAAAACAGTTGTTCCCTATTTATTTTCTCCATTTCACTCGCAGTTTTATAAACTTTTATTTCTCTCCAATGGTAACTAAATCATCTCTCTTCTAGGCTGAAGTGTCCTTTCTGCTTATCTAATCACTGATCCTGTGTTGCAACTTATTTAAAAAGGATAAACAGATTTGAACAAAGGATAAATTAATTTAAACATATCTCCAGTAGAATTGTGAAGTAACCTATTTAGATTGTTCTTTTAATGCAGAGGAAAAGTGAAGCAGAAAGTGTATCTGTCTTCATCATTTCAATATCCATCAGGGATAAGGAGATATGATTGTCATTTGCAGTTTGACAACCACAAGAAACTGTCTGTAAAGAATCATGTTCAAAAGAGGAATGTACTACCATGAATTCGTCTCACACTGATAAAATTCGGACCCTGTGCACATCACCTTTGTAGTTCTAAGTCAGACATCCATTTAAAGGTGTCTTCACAAGAGCAGAAGCTATGATATATCTGTCTGTGGAAAATCACAGAAGTTTTCCAGTTTAGAGTCAGTACTAGAAAGTTACTCAGGCAAGAGACTAAGTTGTGTTCCAAGAAAAGGCAGCATGTGATACACTAGGCTGAGATTCGCCAAGTAGGAAGGTAAGCCCAGTACCCCTTGGGGTGGTCAAGAAAAGAAGCAAATATTTCACATATGAATTACCAGATCAGGTGGAAAAAGGTGCGTATAAAAAGGAGTTTAGAGTAAAGAAAGGAAAACAAAATCCCAGAGAAGACATAACTCCTTGGTGATGAGGATGGAACTGACAAAATTTACCATGTCAGTCACCTGTTGGAGATACTGTGCAACTGGGAGATTAAGTGGTAAGTGCTGATGCAAAACCATAGAAACACGTTTTACTTGCACTTATGGTTGCACAGATTATGTTTATGCATTTATGAATTAACCTTTTGTGACTCAAGTGAGACTTACAGAGCTAAATTAATTCTCTCCTAACAGGTCTTTTCAATATTTTACTCATAGCCTGCACAAACCCCTCACTCTGCTTGAGAAATTTGAAATGTACTTATCCCTAAAGAGTCTTCTCAATCATGGTTTCAGCCACTACAAAACAGTAGTGAGGGAGGAGTCTGAAATCCAACATTGCTAACATTTGCTAGGACCACCAACACAAAGATGACAAAGGAGTTCAGTGATACTATACTCATTCATTAACATGTGTGGAAAGCCACTTAGTGAGAAGAGGTACCAGGACTAACCAGTGACTGTCGGAACAGGAAACATTTCTTTGGGTCAATACCACAGGCAAGGATGGCAGCAGTGGTGTCCAGTATGTTCTGGCGCAGGACAGCTGGTTCCTTGGGCATGGTGAGAGAGTGCATGTCCATAATGCTATATAACACTGAGTTGCACTCTTCCTGCAGATTCACCCAGTTCTGAATGGCTCCAAGGTAGTTCCCCAGATGAGGCGTCCCAGTCGGCTGGATACCAGAGAAAATCCGATCCACGAACATATTCTGTTACAAAGCATTGGCAAAATTAACACATGCAATTTTTGACAAGTTCTTTTATACTTTAAAAGCATTAATAAAGTGTCACATCTGTCTCTTCTTTCCTCCTGTGAGTATATTAATGTATAAATTACCTCAAGACCGACTAAAAATAATTGCAGGCAGTCAACCAAAATACTCTGTTTTACTGCAGAGAGACTGACAGCTGACTCAAGATCAGCGAAAACTAGATCTTGGAAACTAAGTAGTAGATTCTTTCATCCTTTCTTGTGCCGTAGCTGTCTGTTTCTCTTTAGTACACTATCTGCTCTGATACAGAAACTTGGAGTGACGGCACAGAGAAAATCAAGCATTTTTGCTGTAAATGTACGCACTATTCCAGTAGACTCTCATGAACTCTGAAGCCTTATTTTTCTAGTTGCAAAGAACATTTTGAGAGGTTCCTGAAAAAAACCCAATCCTTGACCCAAAGGTCAAAGACTAAGGAAAGATATTATTAAAATTTGGAAACTACCCATCTTGACAGTAGAATGTTTTTAAGAGTTCTACAAAGCAATATTGCTACAGCTCAAGATCACACCTGGAATACTATGGATGCATCAGTACCAGCAAAATGTCAACATCTGAAGCAAGTTCACAGAGAAGCAGCAAAAAATGATTACGAAGCTGAGGCTGTGGGCAAAGATTAAAAAGCTTAAAACATGTATAGCTTGGCTAAGTGACAGTTACCATCTTGGAGAGTTTGTTTTCCTGCATCCCAGCCCTCCATCTGACCATCTTCTCAGAGCCCCAAGCTGTCAGCATATGATCAATTACCTCTCCGACCTTTCCAAAGAATTCCACCATATTCACAGAATCACAGAATCACAGAATG